TGCAGAGCAGAATAGCTTTTCCCCTCTAGTACCCACTGATGAAGTCCCATAAAATCTTGGGGAGAAAAGGAGTGCAGCCCTCAGCCTGAAGATTGTGATTTGCCAGTCTCTAGTCTCTGTCTTCCAAGGTTGAGAGAGGCAGGAGGTCTCTGAAATCATCTCGTAGAGTGTCTGTCCTCTTACAGTGCGAGAGAAGGAACGTTCTCAGGGTTTCAGCTCACACAGAAATGCAGCAGGATTCTTTTCACTGCAGCAGGATATGTATATAGGTGAATCCTGTGGTGTGGGCTTTCAGGCCCAGGTGCTGAGAATAGCAACTATTTTATACAGTGTGGAGGGCTCATGCCCTGCTGGTTTTTTTGATACACAGGTAGAGAGTAAATAGAAAAGGGGAGGGTGGGGGGTGGGAGGCAGCTCAGTGGGGCTGCTGAGATGGGAAGAGTGTGAGTGTGAACATGTGTAAATGTGTGCGTGAAAGGGAGCACCCACCCCTTCCCGACTTGAAACAGGATTCCTTCTGGGGTGCTTTCCCTGAGTGTCCCCAGAGAGGCCTCTAGCCAAGAGACTCCAGTTGGGATAGTTTTGTGTATAACTTTACCAACACCCTCCCAGTTCTTGATAAACAGCTGCAGGTTGCTGGGTTCAAGAATATGGGTGGGATATGGGAATGCCCTTTCAATGTTTAGCTTCAGTTTTAATTCATCTTCCTGCTCAGCACTGTGTCAGCCAAGAGCTTTCTCAGCAAACACCGCACGTTGCAGCACTTCCTAGTGAGAGAAAACTCTGGGTCATGATACTAGAAAATGCTTCATTTCCATTTCCTCACCTGGGCAGTTCTCTGTTTAAAATTTTGTGCTGAGAGTTGATCTTTCTCTCCCTCTCACACTGTTAACTGCCATGCAGCCCTTCAGATGTGCGGACCCTTATTCTGGCCCTCCAGTTGTCTCTGTCTGTCACGACACACCCTTCTGCTCAAGTACCTTTGAACCCGAGGCTGGAACAGGGGGCTGATAGGAGATAAGTTTGCTTAATCATGATGATGTCCTTTCTCTGGGTACCTGCTTCCCTCTAGTACTGTCAGATGGATTTGTGTGTGGCAGTGGGTGAAGTGATTGCATGAACTTTTCTGTAACCCACTAACTTTGTATTTTTATTAAGAGAGCTTGAGAAAGTTTTGCTTACAGTGTCAGGGCAAGGAAGTAAAAACTGAAGCCCAAAGAAATTCCCTTAGGGTAAGATTATGTTGTAATAGAAAATTGAATTTCCTGAGACAGAGGCTGCCACCCCTTTTTGATGTGTAGGCCTCTATCAAATAACATCTTTTTATGATCCATGACAGGGATGGGGATGTTAGGGCCCTCAAGGGCAGGGGGGCCAAAGCTTAAACCACTATGGGGTTTTTTGTTTTGTTTTTTTGGGGCAGGGGGTTAGGGGAGGTACTTGCTGTTGATATTTGTCACTAGAAAGTCATCTTTTTTAAAAAGCTGGTTTTCTAGGTGGGTGGAGAGTTAAACTGCCACATCTTCATTGGTTTAGTCCAAGAGATCACTTGCAGCAACAGTAGATGTCTTGGTTATGTTTCTTTCTTTTTATTATGAAAAAACTATGTTAAGGGGGAAATGTGGATTATGGTAACCAGAGGAATCCCTAGCCTTGTTTTCCTTAGAAGACTTGTTTAGTGTTTTATCAGATGTCTGTTGTTGTAGTTGTAGATGGAAAAGCTTGTGAGAAAAACAAACACCACATGGAGCCTGTAAATGTTTTTGCACAACCTGTAAAGCATTCTTGGAAGTGGCCAGTAAAGAAGGGTTTTACCATTTAAAAAAAAATATGTAACTGTGTCATTGTTTACATCTGTAACTTTTTCCTCCCCTGTTCTCATCACAACATCCTGGCAAAAATGTAGGCACAGTAGCTTCCAGTTTTAGAATAAATAACCATTTGGATTGAATTTACCCTATCTCCTGTGGCTGAACTGACTGGGGTGGAGTGTGTCGTTGGGCTATTTATTTATTTATTTAATTGCTTTCTCAAGTTGCACTGGCTCCAACCAGGGATGGCTTTCCTCTTGCATGGCATTTATTCCCTCTTTTCATTCTACATGCCTTCACTTGGGAGCCAACCATGTATTCACTTGGGGTGGTCATTGGTCTATTTAATGCTTGCTTAGGCTAAGAGGTGAAGCCATTGAAAAGGAAATTAATAATATTTCATGACTTCTGTGTATTTGGTCTATACCAAAACCAGTTGGATGCTTGAAGTTAAAGGTAAGGTTCCATTTATGGAGCCAAATAAATTTATTCACGAGCAATTACCACTTATATAATTAGGAGGAAAAGCCTACTTATTCAACAGAAGATGTTTGATGGGGTGGTTTTCTAGTGAACAAAAGCATGGTTGTATTAGTATCACTGAACTGGATCCTAACTGCAGTTTCTTAATAAATGACGAGGGGTCTTATTAAGGCTCTGACATCATAGACTCATGGCATCTAGTGTTCTGAAGGGGTAGTGGTATTGATACAGATACTGCTCTTAGTTCCTCCCCTCTGTATGTGACACAGATTCAGAGCCCAGGGTCCTACAGCTTTGTATCCTAAAGACCATCCTTAATTTTGATGGCTGCCTATTCTCTAGGACATTTAAAGTTAGTTTCAGAGCTAATTCATCATTTTTTAATGGTTATAGCTCATGGCTTGTCTCTAGTAACCACTAAGCCCCATTTTATCCCCAACTATAGCTGGAGCACTCACCTATAATCTGATGGGTATGAAAATTGTGTAGGAAAATTGAGCAGACACTTTTTAAAAAATCTAATACCAAGGTTACATTTTTTGAGCACTTCTGGGACCAAGTCTGAGCTGATGTGGAAGTTTTCATTTACCCCCCTGGAATTTGCCCAACACTGTGATGCAGTGGGAAAAGGCAATTTTTTTTTTTTTTTTTTTTTGAGACAGAGTCTCACTTTGTCCCCTGGGGTAGAGTGCCATGGTATCAGCAGAGCTCACAGCAACCTCAAACTCTGGGCACAAGTGATCCTCCTGCCTCAGCCTCCCGAGTAGCTGGGACTACAGATGTGTACCACAAAGCCTGGCTAATTTTTCTGTTTTTAGTAGAGACAGGGTCTTGCTCTTGCTCTGGGTGGTCTTGAACTCCTGACCTCAGGCTATCCTCCTGCTTTGGCCTCCCAGAGTGCTCTAGGATTACAGGCGTGAGCCACTGTGCCCGGCCTATGGGAAAGTTTTTTAGTACTTGTGGTACTAGCTTGCAATTTAAGCATGTATGCTACAATCCATTCATTAGGTATTTGAGTGCCTACTATGTGCTAGACACTGTCAGGATATGGGATTAAAACAGACCCGATCTTTCCCAGAGTTTTCACCAGTACCAAGAAGGAACTAAGCACACTCCTGAACAAAACTGGGGGTAGGTCCCACTCCAGGAATGCAACAGGTTACTTTTCCTCTTTCTTCATCTCTAGGATGAGAGAATTAGATGATTTCCAGGACCTGGTAGGGCTCAGAAATTCCATCAGTAGTGAAAAGCTGCTCTTCTCCAAAGTGTCCAAGTTTATTGGGTATCCCTGGAGCCCATGAAAACATCCTTAGGAGTCTTAACTTCAGTTGCTGGTAAAAACCCTTTATTCCTTTGGGTTTCTCCGTTTTCTCTCCCCTTTGCTGCCTTCCTGTGTGAAGGTGTGGGGAAGATGGGGGTGATGGGCCGCCCCAAATACAGGTCTTACTATTATTGCAAGGACTCTACCCCCACCATCCCCTCAGTGTGTATCCAGGCACAAACAAGAGCCAGCCTAGGCTTCTCCCTGAAGGATATGTCCCTGAATTTAAGGGATCTTGATGATCCAAACATACTGGGATTGTTACCTTCTCTACCTTGGCCCTGGTCCTACCTCAGCTATGTGCACCCTTGAAAAGGTTTATACTAGGTATTCTGCGGCTCGCAAACCTTTGCCAAGTTTGAGTCCTAGAGATACGCATAAAACATTAAGCCTTAAGTTTGGTCTCTGGCTAGGCAGCTGCTGGATCCCCGTGAGGGGTGGTAGCCACACTAGGGCGTGGTGGGGTCACTGCTTTCTGGCAGATGTGGCAAAATCGGCCTGAGGAAAATGAAGCAAAGCAAGCTCCAGAAACCAAAACTGAACAATTTTGAGCTTATCCAGCTCCTGTGGAAACCAGGAAGCGACCAAGGAATGGAGGCGGGTGGTAACTCTCCCTCCCCAGGCCCCACTTCTAGTTATACCCCAAAGGGAGCCTCTCCCTGGCAGGATGTAGAAACCTAGGTTCCCTCGCAATATCCACGCGACAAGCGCCGGCCATGCTGTGCTTGCCGGGGTCTCCTTGTCCCATGATCCTTAGTTGTTGCCGCCCGTGTGCCTTCAGCTTGATCGGGACGTCGAATATCGGACTCCGGGTGGGGGACCTCGGGCCTCGACTTGGCTAGGCCAGGGGCAGCCATTTTGAGACCAGACGAGCACGGAAGGCACCATATTGAGAATGCTGGCTGCTGGGGGGCGCCATTTTAAGAGAAGCCCTGTACGGTAAAACGCCATGGTGCGAGGACCGCCATTTTGGCGCGGCCATCTTGGAAGGGGAGCGGCTGTGGGCGCGGCCATCTTAAGCATAAAACCGGCCCCCAGACGCGGTAACGAGCCGAGCTCCGCCCCTCCACTCCTAAGCATTCTCGGGCTCTGCTACTGCGGTCCCGCATCCTCCCCCTAAATCCACCCGCTTCGGTCTGTTTTCCTTTCCACTTGCCTTCATTGCACGTTTGTGTGTGTCTATGCCCTTGGCAGCCTCAGAGTGTCTGTTGTACGTTAACTCTTCCACCGGGGACGCTCTCTCGCGCCCGCCTTTACCCCTGATCTCCGCCGATCTCCGATCCTCATCAGTGCTTATCCAGCTTTGACTGGCCCTGTCCCTGGATATGGCAAATCTATTGCCTGATGGTCCTCTCCCCCAAGAACGCTAACGCAGAAGCTGTACTCTGAGGCTCTGGATGACTTTATTCTTCAAATGGCTTTACCCTTCCAATAGCTCCAGGTGAGATCGAAAGCAAGCACCTGGCCCATCCCTCTCTCCATTGTCTGAGCGGGTCACAGAGGGAAACTGGCAGGACGCTGGCAGAGCCTGACTGGGGGCCCTTTTGTGGGCGGAGCAAAGGGTGCCCCGTGTCAGAGGGTGAGGAAATGGGGTTGACAGGCGAGGGAGGGCCTTGTGCTTCAGATAACCTCATATGGTTGGGAAAGGTTAGGAATGGGATGCAGGGAGCCTCACGGGCTTACAACAGTTACTGACCTAAGGAAGGGCCCAGGAGAGGGAAAGGTGGGGAGTTGTGAGGAGGGACAGGGCAGCTCAGAGGAGGGCACAGAAGAACTTCTTCTCCCGGAAGGGGTTCTCCGAAGTGGGTACAGGGGTGATGAGGGGATCCTCACAGGCGTGGGCATCACAATAAGTCATCAGGTCTGCTGCTGCCTTGGACACCTGGGGCACGGAGGTGGGTTGGGGGAGGGTTAGCCAGAACCTCTGAAAAGGACTGCAGCCTCCCTCCCCAAATGGGTTATCTTTTGCCATCCCCGGGGCTCCTTGAGACAGTCTTTTCCCTCATCCCCCACAGAGGCTTGGGGACAACTCTCCTTGCAGAGCCCCAGACTCCTCCCCTGACCTCAAGGAGTCAAGGAAAGAAAGCATCTTTTATCCACAGCTTTGGGAACCTGGAGCACAGCATGGTCTGGCCAACTAATGGGACCCAGGGTCCCACCCACCTTTATCCGGCACAAGCTGGCTTCAATCTTAAGCTGTTCCACCATCTTGCGTGCTTGCCCAATACTCATAGTGCTGTTCACAGGGGTCTCCCCTTTCATCCTGGAGAAAAGAGAGAGACAGCTCAGAGCAGTCTCAGCTGAAGGACCTCCTCCATGCTCACTCCTCACCAGCCTTTAACAAGGCTAGGGTCGTGCCCCAATACTTTGTTCCCCTCTTATCCTCACCCTCTCCCAGTGGCCTGTTTCATCCCTGTCCTCCTCAATGGGAAAAATAGGGAGGTGGGGATGAGGTGCTCCCTGAACTCCTATATGGCTTGGTTATAGATCATTAAACATTATATAAATAATTTAAGGCTTGTCAGCCCTTCAAGCCATGTGTGTTCCCAGCTCTGAAAGCCTCAACCAGAAAGAGCCCCACCCTGATGAGGAGGATACACCACCCTCATATGCCCCCATGATCCCCAACAAGAGAAAAACAAGCCACTCCCTACTTACCTGAGGTGACAGGCAGCAGCAGCAGCCCTGGGGTGTAGGGTCAGTGGGGGGCACCAAAACCTTCTGGCTGAGAGGGGTGCCCCACCCTGCAGGGAGTTGCAGCTGAAAGTATCTGGTGCAGAAGCAGCTAATACAGAGAAAGCCACTGGGGAAGGTTGGGCCAGAGGTCCAGGTCCTTTGAGGGCTGGTGTCAGTTTCTGCAGCTCGAGCACTGCCTGGATGGCTGGTACCTGAAGGATGAAGGATGCTAGAAGGAGCTGTTCCGATCCTGGAGCATACCAACTGCCTGGCCAGTGGGGGAGCCTGGCTGCTGCCTGCATCCCCTGCACACCCCCCCACTGTCACTGTCTCATTACCTGCCCTTCCCCCATTGCAGGCATCCTGAGTCTGGGCTAGAGCCCTTCCTAACGGAGCTGAGGCCAAGGCAGACTCCCCCCCTCAGATGGGGTGGTCTGGGCCTGTGACAGCCCCTGCAGTGGAGTCTACTGGCTGCAGGGGGACCCTGCTCATTTGAAAATCTGACATCAGCTGGGCAGTCGCCCCCTCCTCCCTCTATCCCTCTACCCTGACACAGCACTTAGCACCTGAATTCTTGGTTTCTCTCCCAGGGACCCTCCATTTCCCACATCCAGGAAAATGTGATGCTCTACAGGTATCAGCTTCTAGATCACCACTTCACATTCTAGCTACAAGTGAGGAGTGGAAGATCCAGCGGCAGCAGAGGCACGTCATCAGGAAGATGTCTAAACAAATGGCAGACCAAAGAGAAGGAGAAGCTGGGGAAAAAGAGGTGTGCGGAGAACAAATCAAAGGACCAGACAAAGAGGAGGTAGGGGGCTTTGTGGGGAGAGTGGAAATAGGTATTTTGGTGGGGGTCGGTAATTGGTTTGAAATTTTTCAGACATTTTGAATAGATTACCTCCCACACCTACAGGGTTGTGCAAAGATGTACACAACACTGGCCTTGTCCACTGAAGGACCTTATCTAGGGTAATTAGACTTATACAAAACAGAAGATGCCAACAGCCAAGACCTAATCTAAACAATGTGCTGTGGGGACTCTGAGGGAGAGTGCACCCAGTTAGGATTAGAGGAGGTGGACAAAACCTGGGGCTGAAATGTTACCACGCTTGTGAATGCGCAACGCGCAGATGCACAGGTTCCGGCAGACTGGAACATTCTTTGGGCTAATGCTCCCCGCCTTGGACGCCTACAGATCCTAGGAGCTGTGGGCGATAAAAATCAGTGGCAGCAGGATGCCCGCTTCACTCCCCCACTTCAGGGGTTACCTGGCGAGTGGTGAGGGTGTGGGCAGAGGGCCCCGATTGCGGCCTGGGGGGGAGGGCAGAGCGGGCAACGCAGAGTCAGAGCATGCCCAGGCGCATATCTTGGGGTCTGCAGGGCCTTTCCCTTTGGCCATGGTAAACGGAAGGTAACCGGCCGCTGGGAGGTCCGGTGGCGGGCGCCAGGAGGCGGGAACCTCGCAGCCCTGCTGGCCCCGCCCCCCGCAAGGCCCCGCCCTTCAGGGCTACGGAGGCAGTGGGCTGGGAGGGGCGGGACTTCCCCGGGAGCCGGAAGTTCCTCATCGCTGTTGCCCAGGCAGCGCGCGAGGCTGGTGAGTCTGCAGGGCTGCGGCGGCCGGCGGGCTGGTTTCCATGGCGGCGCGGTTAGGTGGGCGATCGTGGCGCCGCGACCTTGGTCGAGCCGGCGGATACTGGCGGGAGGCGGCCCTTGACTGCAGGACGCCCTGTCGGGGGGTTAGCGCAGTTCTAGGCGGAGAGGAGAAACACGGGCGGCAATTGGGACAGCTCTTAGTCTTTGGGTCCAGCTGTGCGACCATTAAGCAAGTTACACATCCTCTCTGTGCAGCCCCGTGGCAGTGTGGATTAGTATCGAGTGTGTAGAAGCGCTTTGTAAGAATTCTAAGGTGCTCACTCTTTTTATGTTATTTATTGCTATGAATGAGTACCAAGGTGATTTGTCCCAGAATCAGGTGGCTAGTGGAGTTCAGCTGAGGAACTCTGGCACTGGGGGCGAGGGGAGCACAGTGGAGAAAAGGGAAGAGGTATTTGGCAGAGAAACAGAATCATTTGCAGAAAGGCCACATTTGGAGAAAGGAAGAAGCCACTCTTTTCCCCTCTTTCTTTGCAGGAACCATCAGCTGCCTCATCTCATGGCCAGGGTTGGCGTCCATGTGGCAGAGGAGCTAGGAACTCAAGGCCTGAACCTGGGGCCAGACCCTCTGCTCTCCCGGCCATGGTCAATGATCCACCAGTACCTGCCTTACTGTGGGCTCAGGAAGTGGGCCAAGTCTTAGCATGCCGTGCCCGGAGACTGCTACTGCAGTTTGGGGTACTCTTCTGTACCATCCTCCTCCTCCTCTGGGTGTCTGTCTTCCTCTATGGCTCCTTCTACTATTCCTACATGCCAACAGTCAGCCACCTCAGCCCTGTACATTTCTACTACAGGTGAGAGGGTCCTTCTATTAATATAGAGGAATCCTGTGAGAATTGCCCTAGGGCCCTTGGTGCTTATTCAGTTCAATCCCCTCATTTACAGATGAGAAAACAGGAGCCCTGTGTGCTTACAGGACTTCACAGGACCTCACCTTTCACAGCCCAAGGCTGTAGCAGGTCTGGGCTGGTAGGGCTCTGGGGTCCTAGTTCTACCTTTGGTTACTGAAGTCTCGTTAAAAAATAAGAAAAAGGGGAAAAAATCCACTTCTAGGGTATCATTATGAGGGTCAATTCCATTTAGGTTGGATCAGACCTCTCTCAGGGCCATTGTAGAATTTTGAGCCAAACCCTTAGGTCAGCTCAGAACTAAGCTGGCTTTCAGTGGAGGACATATTAGTAAAGCAGCAGTTTGTCTTTTACATCACTGCCTCCCACTTCCACTAGTTTGCTGCACAAGAGCCATTACGGAAGCATAAGGTGACTGGGTATATAAATTTGTCTCCCAGAGTTCTATATCTTGCCTGGCCCTTTAGTTCCTTCCCATTTTACAACCCTGCCTAATTCTCTCATCTGTTTTTTGGGGGTTTTTTTGGTTTTTTTTTTTAGGAGAAAGATAGATCTCTCTCATCTGTTCTTAACAATCACTATAGGACCAATGAACAGATGCTCACAAGGGTATTGTTTTTGTTTTTTGTTTTTTTGTTTTTTATTTATTTATTTTTTTTTTCATCTCCTTTAGGGTCTAACTCAGCTGCATCGAGGGTATTGTTATCAGTAATCTAAAATCATTTTTTCCCCTGAATCCCTGGTCATGAGCTGTAGTTTCTAAGGTAGAGCTTTGTAAATATTTAGGAGACATGGATCTTATGAAAGCTATGGCCCCTCCTGCTATGAAATTGTATATACGTGCAATTTTGCCTACAATTTGAGAGGGTTCATGAGCCTCTTAATGAGCATCTGTGGATCCTTTTGGAAGTGTTTTCTCAAACAGACCCCGTACCAGAACCACTGAATCAGACTCTCTTGGGGTAGGACCCTGGAATCTATATTTTTATCAAGCTACTCAGGTGAGTTTTTAGAAACACTAAAGTGTGAAACTATTTAACTAAATATCCATAGATTCTCATCTAATAACATCTGCTGGAATAAGAGGAAATAATTGAAGGTACAGGAAGAAAATGAAAGCATTATTCTGGTATCTTTAATCTCTTAGCCACATTTGGTCTCTATCTCTCTAACAGAGAGAATAGTACCTGTTTTGAGAGAAGGGGTGGGGCAAGAGGGAGGCCTAGGGGTCCAAGAAGTATGCAGACATATGGGTAACACAGACTCCATAACTTAGCAGAGTATTGTCCCCCATTCTCATTTAGGACCGACTGTGATTCCTCCACCACCTCACTCTGCTCCTTCCCTGTTGCAAATGTCTCACTGGCTAAGGCTGGACGCGATCGGGTGAGTATGGGAGCTAGAGAGAGGTTTCATTAGAGCTTTGATGACTTGAAATAGGGAGGCTTGAGAAAGACCTGGAGAGCAGGGATTGACTAATAGAGACTAAGAGGAAGGCTCTGAAGGAAAGGAAGATTCAAGAGAAATTAAAATCTCAGTGAATTGTGTGTGTTGATCTTTCTGCAGCAGATGTTAGGAATGTTCTCAGTCTCAACATACAGACAGTCCTAGACTTGCAATGGTTAGATTTAACAATTTTTCGATTTTACAATGGTGCGAAAGCTATGTGCATTCAGTAGAAACCATACTTCAGGTACCCACACAACCATTCTGGTTTTCTTATTAGTACAGTATTCAATAAATTACATGAGATGTTCAGTATTTTATTATAAAATAGGCCTTGTGTTAGATGATTTTCCTCAACTATAGGCTAATCTGAGTGTTCTGAGCACATTTAAGGTAGGCTAGGCTAAGCTGTGATGTTCACTAGGTTAGCGTATTAAATGCATTTTTGACTTGTGATATTTTCAACTTACGATGGGTTTATTGGGACATAAGCCCATCATAAATCAAGGAGCATCAGCATCTATATCAGATGAGATGTGACCTCTTTCAGGCAGGTCATATCTACTAGAACTAGATGAAGTAAGCCATATTATAGACCTAAATAAACGAATCAGCTATTTCATTGTAATAGGATGGCATCCTCCCAAGAGTTTTGAAAGCATACACATAAAATTATAAAACTTGACAAATATGTGTGACCTGTCATTACAAAGGATGACATTACTGTGGCAGAGGACTGGCCAGATGCCAGTGTGATTTCAACAAGCCTGGGAACCCTGAGAAATGCATATGAGGATTCAGCCTTCCATACTAGGCAAGCTGGAGAGGCTCTAATAAAGGGTAGGATCCCTGCACACTTAAAAAGGACCTTGGTGGCCAGGCTCAGTGGCTCACGACTATAATCCTAGCACTCTGGGAGGCCAAGGCAGGAGGATTGCTTGAGGTCAGGAGTTCGAAACCAGCCTGAGCAAGAGTGAGACCCTGTATCTACTAAAAATAGAAAGAAAATTAATTGGCCAACTAAAATATATAGAAAAAATTAGCTGGGTATGTGGTGCATGCCTGTAGTCCCAACTACTCAGGAAGCTGAGGCAGTAGGATCACCTGAGCCCAGGAGATTGAGGTTGCTGTGGGCTAGGGTGATGCCACGGCACTCACTCTAGCCTGGGCAACAAGGTGAGACTCTGTGTCAAAAAAAAAAAAAAGAAAAATCTACTATAAGCCAGGCAGACAGTGTTGTAGATGATAAAGATATAGCTTTTTTTTTTTTCTTGTTTGAGGCAAAGTGTCACTCTGTTACCTGGGCTAGAGTGCCGTGGCGTCAGCCTAGCTCATAGCAACCTCAAACTCCTGGGCTCAAGCAATCCTGCTGCCTCAGCCTCCCAAGTAGCTGGGATGACAGGCATGTGCCACCATGCCTGGCTAATTTTTTCTATCTATATTAGTTGGCCAATTAATTTCTTTCTATTTATAGTAGAGATAGGGTCTCGCTCTTGCTCAGGCTGGTTTCGAACTCCTGACCTCTAGCAATCCTCTTGCCTGGGCCTCCCAGAGTGTTAGGATTATAGGCGTGAGCCACGGCGCCCGGCCAACATCATTTGTGGGTTTTTTTGTTGTTGTTGAGAAATCTTTTATTAGGAGATGTCCCAGAAGGCAACATTTTAAAATTAGTCAAACAATAATCACAACTAAATATAAAATTTTAGTAA